TCATCAGGAAAGTGAGTGAAACACACACACAAACACATTTTTATCAAATAATACGTCATTAAAATAGTGGTTCACATCAGCAGCGAACCGTACCGGAGTTCACATGAACCGTACCCCAGACCACCCTTTTTAAGCGGACTCTGGTACGGTTCGCGGGTGCGCACCCGAGTTCGGAAGACAGCGTTCACATCATCCAAACGAACCGAATTCTGACGTCAATCGAACCTGGGTGCGCACCAAAAGTGCTAGTGTGAAAGCACCCTATGAATCATGTTAAAAAAAACATGGGATCTGAACAAATAAAACAATGGCAAGAGACTTTTTTTTATAAAATAGCCTTAATTAGAGATTAAAGACCTTCTTAAGGTTGAACGCTTCAAAAGAAAGAAATCTAAAAGGAAAAAAATCCCCCACCGTTCATATATTGCAGTCTCACATTTGGTCAGAGATTTACCGGAAATATTCAGGTAATCCATATTTTTCACAGCATTTCTTTCTCTCTGCATGTATAAGGTCCAGTGTATGAAACCATTTGGAATGAGGCTGCAAAAGCTCATGTTGGAAGTTGACATGGTCCCGTGTGCAGCCGCAGCGCCCCCTGTCTGTGAAGAGCACTTAAAGTTCGAAATTCCAAAGGCATTGTGTGCGGACTGGCACCAGATGTGTAGTGGTAAGTTAGCTTGTCGTAGTAGTGGTACTTGACCGATTTGCCATCAGGATCATGAGCGAAAGGCCAGAAGCCATACAAGTGGATCTGGTCACAAAAGCGCGTAGCCATGGTGTACATCAGGAGTCCGGTGGTGGGTCTTTTGATCTGGACATGATTGGTCAGCCAGTACCTGAAAGAAAATCAATGATTACAAACATAAGACCATAATTTACTACACTCAAGCGCATACTTTCTTAAAATTAGTATGATCTATACTGTTTTATATTTATACTGTTCTATATCAATTACATAAAATCTTCAGAAAACAGAAAATCAGACATTACTGTTCAAACGCTTGAGATCGGTAAGAATTTAGGTTTTTCAAAGAAGACTTATGCTCACCAAGGCTGTATTTATTTGATATAAAAAAAATAAAAAAAAAAGTAAAAACTGCAGTATTTTGAAATATTACAATATATACATTTTATTTTATAATTATTATTATTAATGGATTTAGCAGACACTTATCCAAAGCGACTTACAGTGCATTCAGGCTATACATTTTTTACCAGTATGTGTGTTCCCTGGGAATCGAACCCACGACCTTTTGCACTGCTAACACAATGCTCTACCACTGAGCCACAGGAGAGCTGCATTTTAATAAAGCAATAAGCGTTGTGCCTAAGAACACTGTTATAAATTCACTGTAAACCATGGCTTCATGGGGCTTATTGCTTTTGTAAAATAGTTATTCCATATTAGTAAGGTTTCACAAAATAAAACAGGGCAAATAAAGTGTAATGATATTAATAAAATATTATTCTTCTGCTAAACAATGTAGTTCCTCAGAAACGGTTGTGGTTCCAACAAAGTGGTTGCTGAGCAACACACAAATGTAAACAAAGGTGTATGTTTGTAGAGTAATTTACAACAGCTTCGAACTCAGCTCAACCAATCAGAATCAAGGACCGGAACGATCCGTTTTATAAAATGCAATTTATTCCTGTGATGGAATTTGGATGGAATTTTTAGGAGCCATTAGTCCAGTCTTCAGTGTCACATGGTACTTCAGAAATCATGCTAATATGCTGATTTGGTGCTCTAAAAACATTTATTCCCATTATTTATAGTAAACAGTTGTGCTGCTTAAGAGTTTTGTGGAAACTGATACCGTTTTAGGACTTTTCTATGAATAGTTTTGATAGTTCAAAAAGAACAGCATTAAATTAAAAACTTTTGTAACATTATAAATGTATTTCCTGCCACTTACTGAATAAAAAATATTGATTTTGAAAAAAAAGAAAAGAAAAGAAAATTTGAACAGTAGGTGTATAAGGTTTTTAAAAAGTGCCAGTCCAAATGTAACAGGGGATTATAAAATCCTAACTGTGTTTAACAGGTAAGGTTACTAAAAAGGAGCCTGAGCTCAGCCGCTGAATTTAGGCTAAATCTGCTTTTTAAAATATTCTCATGCTAAACTCGCCTACATCCAAAACCTGATGGCTGTGCAGCTCTTCCACGTTTAAAAGGAGGAGATCAGACAATTGAACAATGTCCATTAAGATGCACTGAACCTTCTCCAGTCCACTCACAACAGGGCTCTCTCTGTGAATCCGAGAGGTGTCATTCATTCAGAACGGTTGAGGAAAAAGGGGGGCCTGGAAGAAAGGAGTTTCAGCTAACAAAGGGGATCCCATATCTTAAAGCTACCTCTGGACTTTGTATGGCTGAGTACAGATTTCTTTATTAGGATTCATTGGGATTAAAGTAAAACTCTAATAATGTGAAATATTACAGTTAATAAAAAGTTAACCTATAATGTATTCCTGTAATGGCAAAGCAGCCATTACTCCAGTTTCCAGCGTCACATGATGCTTCAGAAATCTTTCTAATATTCTGATTTGATGCTCAAGGCACATTTCTCATGATCAATGCTTAAAACTGGTGTCCTGCTCAATATTTTTGTGGAAACTGATAAATCTCTCTCTATTTTTATTGAACAGTATTGTATCAAGTAAATATTCTCTCTGCTAATGCTATAAATTATAGTGGGCACTGATTCAGACCTATTCAAACTAGTAACCTAAGCTATCTTTGTGAATGATTTATTAAAAGAACCAGCTCATAAGAATCATTGTTTTGCATCCCACAAGGACAACTCAATAGACTCAACTCAAAAAGATGCTTCTTGCCCTTATTCCACAGTTTTTCTATTGTAGGATGCAATACAGACTGCAAACCTACACTCAAAACACATAAAATGTAGTTTATTTTGCTGTAACACTGATGATTTAACAACAAATACATTTTCATGCAGCTACTGAAAATAGGCATAAATAATTTTTTTTTGATTTTGAAAATGGGTTTAGATGCACCATCTAAATGTATTTAATGACTTTTGAAAACTTGTTCATTTAAACTACACAGAATTTTGTTGATTCCTGAAGTACATTTGACAAGAAAATACTATTTCTGTTTTTCTACTTCAAAATTTCATGTTTAATTCAACGTGCTAGAAACGCTTGTTCTTTTTTAATTCTTAAAAATGCTAGCAATCTGAAAAAAAAAATAAAAAATTAGGATCTACACTGAATTTGTGTTCATTTCCAAATGAGTGTATGCAGATGATGTAATTTGTAGATGAGCTATTCCTATACAAATGTACTTTTTTATCATTTGAACAACTACAAATTGCAATTGGAATATTTTCATCAAAACATCATTCATTGAACAGCTGTCTCTTGCTTGGCCTTTATTCTGGCCGTGGCAAGCCATGCTATACAGATGGATCTAAGAAAAGCCATCCTCAGCTAGTTGCATTGTAAGGATGGTAGGTTCCAGATACTCTGCTCTGAGGGAGGACTGAACGGCAGACTTAAAATATGCAGAGGTCAATGCTATTTAAAGACAACCGACTACAACTGAGCCCAGAGGGGATTGAATTTATTGAGCGAACTAACAAAGACCTTCTCTAAAAAAATACAGATATATAGATGCCAGTGTGCACTTAGTGTGGGCCTCAATCCATTTACAGGAACAGTCCTATGCTGTGGTCGCGGGGTAGGATGTGAACATATTGATGCCTGAACTATAAATAGCTAGAGGCTTGATACACCTGCTTCAGCGTGCATTGGTGTTGAGTATAGGCTTAAATGCACGGGCACGTACCCTCTGACAGCATGGAGCAGACGCAGGGAGGGGAAGGCGGTGCGGACGTTCACAGTATGCAGAAGAATTAGGCGGATGGCCCACTCCACTCGCTCCTCTCCTCCTTTAGCCATGAAGGCAGGGATCCACAGCACACTCCCACTGAGGCTCTGCAGCCTGTGGACAAAGCGCTGCACCCACTCCTCACTGTTCAGGTCCTGAAAAGCACGCTGCACCACAGAAGGGTTCATGGTCACCAGACTCGTGCGCAGGCCCACATCAGCTGCATACTCCTCCACTGGAGCCAGGTTACACCTTGGAAACACACACACACTCACATGGTTAGGTCTTGATATTATCTCAAGTTAGTTCCTATATATTGTATATGTAAATGCCTATGCCTGTGTGCATACATACGGTCAAGCCTTAGTTTTCCTCATCAAGCTAGTAACAAGCTATCAACACATCTGAAGTTTATTCCACTCTGCATGCCTGCTTCAAAGAGACTACATTACACCCATAACATACTCTACACAAATGTGTCAATGTAGAACCTTCAAATAAGTGTTACATTTTCGCTGTTGCCAAAAGGGGTGCAATAGAACATTAGACTAAACAGCCTTCCTTCACAGTTAACATCTGGTGCAACATCTGGGTTCTGGAAGTAAAAATACCACTCGTTTTCTCCATATGGGACTTTTTTTTAATGATAACTAAAAAATCCTTTAAAGACAAATCTACTGTCTGCAAGTTTGCATATATCTATCATGGATTAATAACTTTACAGACAATATTTGTCTTTACACTTCATGTATTATATATTTCTTCATTTTTAATTTGACTGTCATTTGTAATGCTTCATGGGATTGTAGTTCTTTCCCTCATTAAACCCATTAAGCACACAGTCTTGTATTTGAAGCAAAAAAGTATTTGAAAATCAGTAGTTTGTAATATTCACCTCAGAGCTGGTCGATTTGGTTCATGGCTTATAATGCTTTAATTAAGACTATAAAAATCTGTGGGGAAAAAAATACAACTACTGCCAAAATGAAGCAACAATTTGACGTGTTTTTCAGCAAGTAATTTAAAGGTAATATTTGCAGCACATTGATTGCGTAATAACACATTCGATTTAATGGAACAGACCTTTGAAAATAACTCTGTCTCTCTCTTCATGTGTTTGTTAACTCTAGATCAATGCAAAAACGTGTGTCAACTGGACTGCATGTTGACAGAAGGCCTGCACACTTCATTAAAGTACGTTTAACTGGGGTCTGGGGATCCTCAGAGGTCCAAAAATAAACAAGATAGATCAAATTTATAGTATACATTTAAAGTAAAATTACCTATATAGTACAGTACTGAGAAGAAAAAAAGTCATAAAACTTTGAAAAATTATTATAAATGTGAAAAATATGCAGGAAAATATTTAAAAGAATAAATAGGGTCTTTACATGAAAATATACTGTATAGCTTCCATTTAAATTTTAGGATGGGGGGGTCCCTCACATTAGGATGATCATATTTGGGGGTCTGTGGCAGATTGAAAAGCCCTGCCAGACTACTGAGCATCAAGAGTGACACAATGTTCACTAACAATGTGACCTATAAAGAGCAAAAAAGAGTGAGCAAAATACTTGCTTCATTTTAAAACAAGTAATTTATCTTTGTATAAACTACAGCAAGTGCCTTTTAAAGCTCATCCCATCATTTAACTTTAAAAAAATCCATAAAGACACACAGAGGTGACTTTAAAGCAAATACTGAGCACAGTGTTGGCATTATCATCTTGCCACAATACCTGGAAAACCTTTCAACACTGGCACCATGCCGACTGCTGAGGCTTAGCTGTCATGGTCACACTCCCACACAGTCTTGTCCTTGCCCAGCAGAACAGCCATGCCAAACGCACAGGAGGGATTCAAGTTCCTCCATTACTTAATCTTTGAGGCTCTGTATGTCCCTGGACTGAAGCTGAATTACATTAATGTCCTAAAAGCACAGCTAGGCTGATTTCTGACTCATTTAGGATTGGAAATATCGCAGTATTACACAAGTGTGTCACATAAAGCACACTGCTGTACATGTGTTTTTCCAAGCAAACAGCTTTAGGCTGAACGCAGAGCATTTTACAGGCAAGTGAACTTTAATCAATTTTAGAAGACCGCCTAATTATGTTTCCAGGGATGTGGCTTAGAATTACTTATACAAATGTCATATTGGCTCAGCTGGTCACTAATTGCAGTATGTTATTATCACTCTTCAGTTCTGAAAGCCTTCCGACAGTACGAGTCAAGCCTGGATGTACTGACAGCTATTTCAAAAGCGCATTGTGTCACATACTGATCGTAATCTGTTTGAAATCCAACCCTTTTTTAAGCAAGTTTAAAGTTGTAGAGAATGGGAATACCCGGCTGCAGAAGATACAAACAGCACGAACAATTAAATTGAAAATGTGTCAATTAACGTCATAATAAATTAACATCAGCCTTGCAAACGTGCCGATCTGAGGTATTACACTCATGATGAAACCTCTGTATCTGAGGTTTTTGCAGCCTGTTATTCATGAAAAAAAAAATGAAAAGCTAATTGTGCAGGTTTAAAATAAGAAATAAAGTCACACTGTGAGATATAAAGTCACAGCTACAAGAAATAAAGACCAATTTATGAGAAATAGTGGCAATTGCAAGGCAGAGTCCCAATTACCTTTTTTTTTTACACTGAGGCACAAACTGTGTTTTATGGTTATCACTTAAATAAATCAGGTATTAATGACCAAAAAGAAAAAAAGTCCAAATAGGAGACAGAATTATTTATTTTAGAGAAAAAAAAAAAGTTCTCCACTGCTAATGTTAGGACATTGTTTTATAATTATTCTTTAAAGCTAGTTTAGGAAGATTGATTGTTTGATGGGATTTATTGTTTGATTCAGGATGAGAGCTGGCAAAGGTTACATCGACAGAGAACAAACTGTGAAATGCTACGACACGAGACAGAAGAAAAGAAGTTTACCTAATGACAAAGTCATGTGAATCAATCTCTCTGCCGCAGCTGCTATTCAGTAATATCCCAGAGTTCCCTACGATGGCACATTGTTTGTAATGCTGGTTCTTCATTGGAGACACCGTCGGCAAAAGGTGGTACAGGTTCTCAGAGATGTTTGTGGTGCTTTGGCGGTCAAATATATAATGAATTACATCCCCGGGTTTAAAGGTGCTCTTAAGAATTGAGATGTCCCTCTCAGCATCTAGGAACCTCAAAATGTTTTTCCTGGAAGAAAAATGAAAAATAATAACATGCTTTATGAATGCTAAGGGATAAAAAAAATAGAGTATTAACAGGGAACCACATTCTTTTTTACTGTGCATTTGAAAAAATTCAAGCCGTACCTGATGAGGTTAGACAAGGTTCTGTTGAAAGTCCATTCTGGTGAGAATGAATTGCTGGTTTTGCTCTTCATGCCTGGCAGTGGAATTGGAGAAGAAAAGACTTTGCTCTTTCGATAGGTGACTAGTGAAGTAGGAACACTATTCAGGACTGAATTTCTGATGGAGGAAAAATACCATGTTTATGTGCATGTCTGCCAAACATCACTGTAAGACACAGCTACAAATAACAACATCTGTCACCTCAAAAAATACTGGCAGCTATGTTTAATGAATTCTTGAAACCCTGATAAATCAGTAATATGAAAAAAAAGATTTTAAGTACATTTAAATAATTATAAATAATTAACATGCAAATAAACTGAAAATTGAATACATTTACATTTAAAATGTCTTGGTTTAGGTCTATAACACTGAGAAACAGACTTAAATATGTGGTTGTAAGCATCAATGACATTTTCTCACGAAAACACCATAAATCATAACTGATATAACAAATCAGATTACAAACCTGTTGGACTGAAGGACAAAGCGAAACTTCTGTGAATCCTCAATGTTCCTAAGAGCAGAAGGCATAACATATTCATCATCATTATCCAGTAATTTGACCATTAATAATGCTCTCCGAGTAGATAATTGAGGCAAAGGCAATTAGAATTTGAATTATGATGATATTTATTTAGGACTTTAATATGAGCCACTCCACATTTAGATTTTGCCATAGCCTATATTTATATGGAAGAAAAAGTAAGTGCAGTATGTTAGTATATTCTTGCTCATCGCCTGTCAGTCACAGCTGGTTATAACAGATTTAATTGCTGGAGGTCACAATGTCAATGTGCTAATGGGGTTTTGCCTACATTGTAAGGACATTTGGTCATTTGAACCCCACTACAAACGCACACACACAGACAAAAGCAGCTGCTGCTTCAGCCAACAGTCCTTTCATCTTTGATTCTGATCGTCTCTGATTTAATTGAAAGGTAGTAAAACTTTAATTTGTGAGAAGGTTGTTTCAGTGATCTACAGACCTAAAACAATTAGGCAGCATAATTGTTTTGTAGCTAAGATTGACTGGTTATCATGATCACTCACCAAGTGGTGATCACTCACAAAATATTACTTATGAAGATTGTGGATGACAGTTTCCACCGTCTTCCAAGCTCAGGAATACACTGAAACAATCCTGGCATATCATTTCTAAACCTACAAATGAAGACGCTTCTCGTGCCGTGAAAGATGTACTGTTTATATCACTGTTTCTTGTCAGGTCCAACATCCTCACTGCTTATGAAAATATGCTGCTTGTGTAGGCAAATGTAAGTTTGTATTAGGAAATACTGATATAACAGTAAAGGGATTTTTATTCTATTTATTCTATTTTTATTATTCAAATATCATCATACACCGCTGTCATCCCATCATGCATATTGAGGATAAACCTAATACTCTTTTTAGAAATGGAAGAATACATACAATGATACAAGAGTAAACTGTCCTACTTCACCTATATTCGACCTATTAGCTGATGGTTGTTCATGATTATTTATGAATTCCTGCATCAAGTTCATCTTGCCATTATACTAACTTTTGCTATTTTGTCAGCTTAAGATCTGTAATTTTCTTTCTTTGTCAAGGTTCTGAGAATATTTGCAAATGAGCTCACAAAAGTGGTGTTTTGTGCCCACAACCCTATAGTGAATTTCTGAAAGAAGCAGAAGGAATCTTATTTGAATCATTCTGATACATTCGTGTGCTTTGTGCTGCCAGAGATGGCCTAGAAATGGTGATGTCCGTGGAGAAAAGAGTAAGGAAATGAAAAAGGGGGTCATCTTTCTGCCATATTTTTAATTTGTTCTCACAATTGCTTTATAGGGAGTCTGTATGCATGATGGGTTGTGAAAACCTTTTGATTAACATTTTGTTTATGTGTGTGTGTTTAATATCTAGGCCAAAATGCTTAAATCTTAAAGGTTCTTTATTGGCACCTATGATTCCACGAATAACCTTTAAAGGCGTCATGAACTAAGAAATCAAAATTCCCTTGATCTTTTGACAAATATGAGGTCATTGTACTATATAAATATCCGGTAAGTTTCAGAACTCAAAACTTTCTCATTAGTCTAAAAACAGCTTGTATTGAAGCCAATATGCCAAAATGACAGGTTGTGCAATGTGCCACTTTATGATGTAATAATGTGGCTAAACCCTGCCTCCACAGAAGAAGATCAATGCCTGCTCCTACATCACTGCCTGCTAAGCCCTGCCCACTGATTCGCAGTCTTTGCATTGCATTGTCTTCCTTCTGATCCCAGCATTAGGAAAGAGTGGATGAACTTTATTTTTAATGAAACTCCAGAACACGACAGTAAGAACTTGGTCCTTTGTTCACTTCATTTTACTGTGGATTCGTTTACAAACAAGGCACAATTCGACACAGGATTTTCAGAAAGATTGAAATTTAAAGACGATGCTGTGCCGACTATGTGGATCTGACAGTAATGTCGCACCACACAAGTTTGAGTAGGATAAATACCAAGTTCTTTCATGAAACTCTAGATGGCGCAGGCTGATGGGTCCTTAACGTAACTGATTATATTCTTAGCATTAAATGACTTGTCACGAGCTGTTTGGTTCATGTTGCATACGCAGCCAATGAGCTTGCTGCTTTACATTTAAATGGCTGATTAGCATTCGCTTGAGCATTGCAGCATGCTTTCAGAGTTCCTCTGAAACCCTCCTCCTTCCCCAGCTCCACCTGTTATTTTACATTTACATTTATATTTAGTCATTTAGCAGACGCTTTTATCCAAAGCGACTTACAGTTGGGGGATACATAAAGCGATTCTTCTTAAAGAGGCAAACAGACACAGGAAGTGCTTGTAATACCAAGTTTTTAGACATTGTTCAAATAAGTACAAGCTAGAAAGAGAAGGAATAAATAAAGAGAGAGAATATATATATATATATATATATATATTTTTTTTTTTTATGATGATGATGATGATGAAGTCAAGTAGCTTCAAAAGAGATGAGTTTTCAGCTGTCGCTTGAAAATTGTCAGGGATTCAGCATTCCGGATAGGGGTTGGAAGATCATTCCACCAGCCAGGAATGGTGAACGAGAATGTTCTGGAAAGTGATTTTGAGCCTCTCTGTGATGGTACCACGAGGCTTCGCTCACTAGCGGATCTCAGACTTCTGAAGGGGATGTAAATTCATAGTAGTGAGTAGAAGTA